AAAAAATTGTCACATTTTTTCAAAATTGTTGGCATTTCGTTTATAGCACAAAACACAAAAAAAAAAAAAAAGCACACAGGTGATCAAATACCACTGAAAGAAAGCTCTATTTGTGGGAAAAAATGACAAATTTAATTTATGTACAGCGTTGCATGACCGCACAATTGTCTGTTAAAGTAATGCAACGCCGTATCACAAAATAATGGAAGGGGGGGGGATGTAAATCCTCTGGAGGGCAAGTGGCTAAACACAAAAAAAAAAGGACTGGAACTCCAGTTTAAGTGGAACCCAGTGCCCAAATGTCACTTCCAGACTAGCCCTGCAACACCCAATCCACTGGGTTCCAGATGCAGTGAAATCCAAGGCTTGGTGGACAACATGCAGAATTGCTGTTACATACAAATTGTTTTTAACCACTTGCCGCCCTGCCACTGCATATATACGTGTGCAGGGCGGCACTGGGGCGCAAAAGCACGTTTTAAAACGTGCTCCGCGCTCCCGACGTTTACGCTGGCAGGGGGCGCGCGCGCACCCGCCGACCCGCGGTTGACACCATTTGATCCCGGAAGGATCAATCATTCGATTTCAGCCAGTGATGTCTGGCTGAAATCAGATAATCGGTCCCTGTCCTATGTTGACATTTACACAGGACAGGATATGATGTCATTCTTCTCTGCCTGGACACATTCCGTTCCAGACAAAGAAGACATCCAAACAGTGAGTAAAACAGCACATACCCACAGTTAGAACACACCTAGGACACATTTAACCCCCTGATCGCCCCCCCCCCCCAGTTAACCCCTTCACTGCCCTGTCACCAATCAGTGAACAGATTTTTACGGATCACTGTATCAGTGTCACTGGTGACTTCCAATAGTGTTAGCGCCCCTTCCAGATAGCGCCAGTTTGTCCACTAGTACACCAGTAATCCCATTTAACCCCTTGATCCCCCAGTTAACCCCTTCACTGCCTTGTCACCAGTATCATTGATTACAGTGAACAGATTTTTACTGCTATTAGTGTCACTGGTGACTTCCGATAGTGTTAGCGCCCCTCCCAGATAGCGCCAGTTTGCCCGCTAATGCACGGGGGTTTTTTTTTTACCAAAATCATGTAGCAGAATACATTTTGGCTTAAATTTATGACTAACTTTGAGTTTACGATATATTTTTTATAGCTGAAAGTAGAAAAATATTTTTTTTCAAAATTTGTGATTTTGTTTATAGCGCAAAAAATAAAGCTCACAGGTGATAAAATACCATCAAAAGAAAGCTCTATTTGTGTGAAAAAAAAAGACGTAAATTTCGTTTGGGTACAGCATTGCATGACCGCGCAATTATCATTTGAATTAGTGCAGCGCCAAACAGCAAAAAAAGGCCTGGTCATTAAGGGGGGGTAAATCCTCAGGAGCTCAAGTGGTTAAAGACAGTTGTCTAGTAAGTGCTAATATTAAAGACTAGCTTATGCTCTTTGGTTATACTGCAACATACAGGAGGATTGGGCACTAAAAGGACAAAAACCGTCTCTCATGGGGGCTGGGACAATGCATGCTTACACAGTAGTTACCTCTCTGTGGCTGTCCAGTGGCAGACATACTGGCAGATGTGCTGTGCACATACCAAAGAGAAAGGCACACAAGGTCAAGCGTGCCACAATAGACCATGCATGTTCTACTTGTTTGTTTTAGCAAGAGCTTCAGGGAACTGCAGCAGATCTAAATTGCCCTTTAAATTGAATTTTCCCAATGTCTCATTTAGATTTCCCCTCATGTAGTGCTGTTGGCATGATTTAGAGCTTTATAGGGGCCACAAAAAGGAAAGAGTGAAGTCTTATGGAGCACCTGATTGTCTTCAACACTTGATCATAAAAAGTGAGCTTATCAGAAGGATGTGGGCTGAAAAAAAACAAAAAAAAAAAAAAACCCACCTGCACATATGTAGAATTATTGGTGAATAAAGAGCTTTATTAAATCATTACTTTGATTTTCTCATCTGTACACAGCTCTGGTGTCAATATTTACAAGTGTTAAAGACAAGGTTTACATGTAAGTACTGTAACCAACTGCAAAGACTGCAGCTGTAGGGAGGGGAAAAAAAAAAAAAACACACACAGAAAAGACATACAAAATACATACACTGTATAAAAAAAAACAAAAAACAAAAAAAAAACACAACAGCAGTGGTGATCCATAGCATTTTTAGAGTCCAGAATCAGTATCGCAAGGTTAATTCCTTATCTGGTTGGCAGGAAGGCTTGACTTATCCAGGTCATCAAAATATGGATGAAGTAAGGCTTTTCTAGCAGAAATTCTTTTTGCTGGATCATAGATGAGCATTTTCTGTCAAAAAAAAAAAAAAAAAAAAAAAATAGACTAAGAGTGGTGCATTGTATATCAACAAAAAAAACCCCACACACACACCACAAACAAAATCACCACATCTTAAAAACACACAAAAGAGGTAAAAGCACAAGGAAAGGAAGTCATCACACCAGTCAGTCACTAACAGTTTTGATTCAGTTTTCCTGCAAGGACTCCTGTGAGAATGCAGGAGGAAGGTCACACACACACACACACACACACACACACACACACGGGCAAAAAAGTATTTAGTCAGCCACCAATTGTGCAAGTTCTCCCACTTAAAGATGAGAGGCCTGTAATTGGCATCATAGGTAGACCTCAACTAGAGACAAAATGAGAAAAAAAATCCAGACAATCACATTGGCTGATTTGGAAAGAATTTATTTGCAAATTATGGTGGAAAATAAGTATTTGGTCAATATCAAAAGTTCATCTCAATACTTTGTTATATATCCTTTGTTGGCAATGACAGAGGTCAAATGTTTCCTGTAAGTCTTCACAAGGTTGGCACACACTGTTGCTGGTATGTTGGCCCATTCCTCCATGCAGATCTCCTCTAGAGCAGTGATGTTTTGGGGCTGTCGCTGGGCAACACGGACTTTCACTCTTCCTCCAAAGGTTTTCTATGGGGTTGAGATCTGGAGACTGGCTAGGCCACTCCAGGACCTTGAAATGCTTCTTACGAAGCCACTTCTTTGTTGCCCAGGTGGTATGTTTGGGATCATTGTCATGTTGGAAGACCCAGCCACGTTTCATCTTCAATGCCCTTGCTGATGGAATGAGGTTTGCACTCAATCTCACGATACATGGGCCCCATTCATTCTGTCCTGTACATGGATCAGTTGTCCTGGTCCCTTTGCGCAGGAACAGCCCCAAAGCATGATGATGTTGCACCCCCATGCTTCACAGTAGGTATGGTGTTCTTTGGATGCAAAACTCAGCATTCTCTCTCCTCCAAAACATGACGAGTTGTGTTTCTACCAAACAGTTCTATTTTGGTTTCATCTGACCATATGACATTCTCCCAATCCTCTTCGGGATCATCAAATGCTCTCTAGCAAACTTCAGACGGGCCGGACATTTACTGGCTTAAGCAGGGGGACACGTCTGGCATTGCAGTATCTGAGTCCCTGGCAGCGTAGTGTGTTACTGATGGTAGCCTTTGTTACGTTGGTCCCCAGCTCTCTGCAAGTCATTCACTAGGTCCCCCCAGTGTGGTCCTGGGATTTTTGCTCACCGTTCTTGTGGTCATTTTGACCCCACGGGGTGAGATCTTGCGTGGAGCCCCAGATCGAGGGAGATTATCAGTGGTCTTGTATGTCTTCCATTTTCTAACTATTGCTCCCACAGTTGATTTGTTCACACCAAGCTGCTTGCCTATTGCAGATTCAGTCTTTCCAGCCTGGTGCAGGTCTACAATTTTGTTTCTGGTGTCCTTCGACAGCTCTTTGGTCTTCACCATAGTGGAGTTTGGAGTGTGACTGCTTGAGGTTGTGGACAGGTGTCTTTTATACTGATAAACAAGTTCAAAACAGGTGCCATTGATACAGGTAATGAGTGCAGGACAGAGGAGCCTCTTGAAGGTACAGGTCTGTGAGAGCCAGAAATCTTGCTTGTTTGTAGTGTGACCAAATACTTATTTTCCACCATAATTTGCAAATAAATTCTTTCCAAATCAGCCAATGTGATTGTCTGGATTTTTTTTCTCATTTTGTCTCTCATAGTTGAGGTGTACCTATGATGCCAATTACAGGCCTCCCATCTTTTTAAGTGGGAGAACTTGCACAATTGGTGGCTGACTAAATACTTTTTTGCCGCACTGTATACACACACACACGCACACTTCAAGGTGATCTACAAAGCCAGAAAGTTCTTTTTAATGTAATTGGATGCTTAGTCAGCCCTAAAACGAGATGAGTAAATGATAAGCCTGTCTCCCTAAGCACTGATCACCTATGCATGGTTTTAAGAAAAGCGTGTCAACTTCCTGGGTAAGGGACACTTCCAACTATGGATTAACACAAGTTTACTTGAATGGAGTAGGGAAGGCCTCAAAAGGTCTCAAGATTAAAATCAGACTCATTTCCACACTGAAATCTGTGTGTCAAGATAAACTCATTTAAAATGATCTCCAAGAGTGATAAAGGGCATCAGTGATATAAAGTCGGTACCTTAAAGAATTCTCAATTACTACACAGTACTACTACAGTAAAACATTTACAGGATACACCTGAAATATAAAGCTTTTACGTTCCTCAGCCATATTGGAATATATATACCTAGGTCTAGATTTTGTAAAGAACAGTGGAAATGCTCAGTGTATATGAGGGGAATCACCTGAAATACTATTCATGCCTCATAGGACATTTTTGCTAACAATGCCTGGGGATAGAGAACTTTAAGACAAACGTTTACTATTGACTTGCATTTGTTTTTAAAGACTTGAGGTTTATAATGTCCAGCTTCTAGAATGGATTTTCACCAACAGACATGTATGTTCTGCTGATTATTAAGTGTCCCATTGGTCCCTTTATAGAACATTAACTTGAAACTGCTATCTGGTCAGACTGCATTGTCTTCAAGACATGCTCCTGCACATGAGAAATATATTACTTACAGCAAGCAAGTCCAGGCCATCTTTATCAATGTTTTTCACATTAGCAGCTAAAGTTGCCTCCTTTCCATTTTGGAAATGTATTCTTGTAATCTTGTAGTGATTCCACATCTGGCCAGACTTCATTGTTGGGTGTTCCTAAAGCTCTGTGGAAAAGTTGTGTTAACCAATGTATGCATTACCTTTTAAAGTGATTAAACAGATACCTTTTCCAAAATGTACAGCAGTGGCTAAGAGTTAGAACACCCAATGTGATGTTATTTTAGCAGTTAGCCTCCAGCTTCCCTGTGTGCCAATACAACAGCAAGTTTCTGTCACAATGTCCTGTTCCTTCGCACATTTGTGTTCCAGCTACTTCTATTATACATTACACAAAAACCTGGATGCTCAGTACTCCCTAGGAATCAATGTCTTTCAGGTGCTTCTTGACAGTCATCAGGTTTCATCACCTTAAAGTGCTGTTATACCCAAACATGTAATATATGCAATTAGATGTGGTGGCTGCATTAGTTTTCTTTTCTTTGGCTTTTTCTCCTTGGTTTTCACCTGATCTGACCAGTAACACCTCCTGTATTAGGGTGCCCCCACTGTGGGTGAATGAACACGAAAACCTTTGAACAGGAGCATTGCAGTCTGAGGAAAGGGGAATGGTTAGATGTACTAGCAGATTTAAATACAAATTGAAGCCAAGCTCAACCACACACTTTATAAGCACTTAAAGCAAACAGTTTTTTTCCCCCTTTTGGGATAAAAGGTTTACATAAATAAAAGCTGATCATTGTAAGCACCCCTGCCAGAATGGTTGGCCTCCACTTTTGTAAATGATACAGTCTGGTGAGAGCTCGTTCTTTTGAAAAAAATAAACAATTTGACTTACTGGCTGGACCACCAGATGAAAAAAAAAAAAAAAAATTGAATGCAGTCCATCGCATCAAATAAATGAGGAACTGCAATATAAAAAAACAGGCTTGATGATTTTTTGGGGTTTATTACCCCTTTAAAAACACCTTCATGCCCTGAATGCCTTCAGGTCAATATCACCTGTTTCAAATCCTAAAATTAAAATGTGTAGTTCACCAGAAGAGAATTATGGCATAAGCAATATGAAGACCCCAAAAAATCACTTCTATAGGTAGTTGGATGCCACTCCTGACAAATGCCAGTTGCCTGGTTTAAAAGTATATGTAAGCCATCAACTTGTAAAACAAACCAAACCATTCCGTTTTTTAAACTAGAAATGAAAGGCAAAAAACATACATACATTAGGGCCGCTGATAAGGGGGTACCCCCGGCCCTCCTGTAGGGGGCCCGGCCCCATCAGCTGCAGGGGGGGGGGGCCCGGGCAGGTGACAAGCCCATTTGCAGCTGCTAAATTCCATGGTTAGCCTCCTGTCATTCTATCACACAGCGGCTCAGTGTTGTGAATGTTAGAGGCGCTCCTGCTCTGCTCCACAGGTTTGACACTTCCAAGTTTCCTTCTGTTTATATTTGATTGCAACTTTGTTTCTCTCCTCTCCCCCCAGACTGCTGATCCCTGTTAACTGCTACAAACTTCTCTCCTTACACAACTTGACCCCCCCCCCCCCCCACTGTCATCTCCTGCTCCCTCTGCAAATCTATACATCATTGCTCAATTCTTTTTATTTAACTCTTTATTTACTGATCTAGTTAATGTGTCCAATTTCCTATCACCTACAGCTCAAATCTAGCATTATAAGATTCCTAGTTGTATCTCACCACTAGTCCGATTGCATTCACAATCCTGGTCAGTTCTGTTCCCTTGTGTATAATAACCCTGAGGGCCAGTTCACGACATGCGTTTTAGTAGCGTTTTTTCCTGCATCCAAAACGCACCGAAAGTAGGGGATATGGTTGTCAATGTCATAGTTCACATCAGCTCTTGCAGTTCCAGTGCTTTCCGATTGCAGAAAAAAAATAAAAGACCAGGCTGCATTTTTTTCTGCACAGAACTGTACTGTAACATGGTAAAACCGCATCAAAAACGCAATGGAATGCACATTTCCCTGAATAGAGGGGGAAAATGTACTGATAAAAGCCAAAAATGCATTAAAAAAAAAAAAAAAAAAAAAAAAAAAATGCACCGAAACATGTAAAAACCGCACATGCAAAAATGCATCCGGAACACATCTAGACCGCGTTCCTATAGTGTGAACTGGCCATTAGGAATTTGTTCACACCATTTGTGGTACAGAAAGGCATGCAAGAGCATGCATTTTCCTGCACAGCAAAGAAACGCAATGCCCTTTGCAGATGTGCCCAGGCACCATGAATACTTAATTGCACCTCCACACATTATTATTATACAGTATTTATAAAGCGCCAGTTTGCTCAGCACTGTAAATTACAATGGGAGACCGAACATGTGACAGTACAACACCACAATGCGATACACTAGGGGTTCGAGGGCCCTGCTCCTTGGAGCTTACAATCTAGGGAGGGAGGGGATAGTGGTACGGGAGGAAAAGCTGTGGGGGATGGAGTGGTAGGAAGAGTGGAGGGAGGTCGGCAAGTTAGCAGGGGGTGGGGTAGGCTTCCCTGAAGAGGTGGGTTTTCAGGGTGCGCCTAAAGGAGAGGAGAGTAGGTGATAATCTGATGGATTGGGGTAGGGAGTTCCAGAGTATGGGTGATGCCCTGGAGAAGTCCTGGGAGGCGGGAATGGGAGGAGAAGACTAAGGAACTAGAGAGAAGGAGGTCTTGTGAGGAGCAGAGTGTGCGTGCTGGGTGATACTTGGATATTAGGTTGGTGATGTAGTTTGGGGCAGTGTGGTGGACAGCTTTGTACGTCAGTGTTAGGATTTTGAATTTGATCCGTTGGGCAATCGGAAGCCAGTGGAGGGATTGGATTGGGGGGGGGGGGGTGGCAGAAGTGGAGCGGTTGGTAAGGTGGATGAGTCTGGCTGCCATATTCAGATCGACTGAAGCGGGGATAGCCTGTGGTGAGGCAGGCCAGTGAGGAGGGAGTTGCAGTAATCGAGTTGTGATACGATAAGGGAGTGGATGAGCTGCATAGTGGTTTCTGGGGTTAGGAACGTGCATATTTTGGCAATGTTGCGGAGGTGGAGTCTGCATGAGTTTGTTAGTGAGTGGACTTGGGGTTGGAAGGATAGATTGGAGTCAAGAATGACACCAAGTACTCTGGCCTGCAGGGCAGGCCTGATGGTGGCATTGTTGGACGTGATGGAGAAGTCAGTGGGGGGGTGGTGTGCGGGCTGGGGGGGGGGGGGGGGGGGGTAAGATTAGGAGCTCGGTTTTGGAGAGGTTCAGTTTAAGGAAGTGGAGCGACATTATCTGATATGTTGTTCAGTAGGCTTGTGATTTGGGTGGAGACTGAAGGGGTGAGGCGTGGGGTGAAAGTGGGGGGGAGGGGGGGGGAGGAGGTGTAGGGTGGAAGAGAAGGGGCGGAGTTTGGATGTGAATGGCAGCAGGGAGATGGGTCTAAGGTAGTTGGGGTCAGTGGGGTCCAGGGAGGACTTTAAGTATGGGGATGATGTGCGCATGCTTCAGGAGGGGAGGGGAATGCATCAGAAGAGAGGGAGAGATTAAATATGTGGATGAGGGAGCGTAGGATGGAGGTGGAGGGAGGTCGAAGGAGTTGTGAGGGGACAGGGTCGAGGGGTCAGGTGGTGGGACAAGCTTCAGAGAAGACCTTGGTGACCTCCTCAATGGTAGTAAGGTCGAAGGAGTGGAGTGTTAAGGGGGCTTCAGTGTGAGGAATGTTAGGTGAGGTGGAGGTCTGAACAGTGGGGAGGCCGAGGGAGAGAGGGGTGATGAGGGGGATGCTGTGTGAGAGGGGATGGGTGGGGAGGAAGTTTGAGCAACGGCGATGTCCTTGCGAATTGCGTCAATCTTGTTTTTGAAGTGATTGGCAATCTGAAGGGCGGTGAGTGAGGTGCTAGGTGGAGGCGGGGGCGGAGAGAGTAGAGAGTTGAAGGTGGAGAAGAGCTGGCGAGGATTGGAGGAGAGGGTCAGAAAGTAGGCTTGTTTGGCAGCGTGGAGGGAGGTGGTGTAGGTGTGGAAGGCAGATTTATAGCGGTGTGAATGCTAGTTGGGATCTGGTTTTGCGCCATAGTTATGAACAGTTCCAAATACCAGTCAATATTGGCACAAAACCTTCAGGCTTCTGCTAGAAAGCTGAATATGAACTTCATCTTTCAGCATGACAACGACCCAAAGCATACATCCAAATCAAAGGAATGGCTTCACCAGAAGATTCAAGTTTTGGAATAGCCCAGCCAGAGCCCAGACCTGAATCCAATAGAAAATCTGTGGGGTGATCTGAAGAGGGCTGTGCACAGGAGATGCCCTCGCAGCAATCTGACACATTTGGAGTGTTTTTTGCAAGGAAGAGTGGGCAAATGGGGCAAATATTGCCAAGTCCAATTTAAGAGTGTGCACACTTATGCAACCATATTTTTAGTTTTTTTAGGTTTACTTCCCTCCACCTAAAATATTTCAGTTTGTTGTTCAACTGAGTTGTACAGTTTATAGGTTACATTAAAAAAAGGTGGAAAAAAAGCTCTGAAAGGATTTGTCCGTCTCATTTTTTTACAATCACAGAAACCTGACATTTTAAACAGGTGTGTACACACTTTTGTGAATATATATCTTTTCATGTGACAACACTGAAGAAATGACACTTTGCTACAATGTAAAGTAGTGAGTGTACAGCTTGTATAACATGTAAATTTGCTGTCCCCTCAAAATAACTCAAACACACAGCCAGGGGCGGACTGACCATTTGGAAACTCGGGCACTGCCTGAGGGCCCCGGGGTCAGTAGGGGGCCCCATGAGATGCCCCTGGTACCTTTTTCATAGGCTTTTTGAGTTTGGGCAAGGACACAGGGGCCCCATGATCCCCTATTGCCCGGGGGCCCCACGAGTTGTCAGTCCGCCCCTGCACACAGCCATTAATGTCTAAACTGCATGCAACAAAAGGGAGTAAACCCCTAAGTGAAAACGTCCAAATTGGGCCAAATTAGCCATTTTCCTTCCCCAGTGTCATGTGACTTGTTAGGGTTACAAGGTCTCAGGTGCGAACGGGAAGCAGGTGTGTTAAATTTGGTGTTATCACTCTCTCATACTGGTCACTGGAAGTTTAAAACATGGCACCTCATGGCAAAGAAC